TAGATAAAAGGTAAGTCAATAATAGAATTCGTTCCACATTGAGTGAGGCGGGTTACAGGAAAGTATATTTAGTAGAACGATGAAAAGAGTGATAGGGAAATATGTATGAAAAATACAAAAAACAGGCTATTTACACGGACACACACATAGTACACAACCGCACTGCTACACCATCTTGGGCATGTAATGTTTTACACAATATTGTATCATATTTGATGAGTTACTGACCTGTCCGTCCACAGGCTCGATGGGCTGTAAAACTGGACGCTCCCGCTCGGATCACACTGGCACAGGATGTCCATGGACCAGATGGTCTGAGAGGTGCACTCCTATTGGACTGGAAAACAAAGAGACATTTGGTCAGTGATAGGTATTTTTCAATGCTGTATCACCATCTTTATCTGTACAGAAAATGCATTGTTTATCATAACTCAAACCCACCTTGGACAATATGACAAGTGGTCCCTCAACAACCAATCCTCATGCCTCATTGTTAGTTCTTGTTTCCCAATCAACAGTCTGGATCTTCCTCTTCTGCCATGGTGGATGCGCTACCTTTTCTGGTAAATACAGGGCCATTTCTCTTTCCCACTGGAAAATGGCAGCTGCAGACCCCAGTGTTGTCACTGGGTTTCCAGTCCACCCATCTGAAAGACAAAATAAAAGTTACTTTTAATAGCTAGGTATGTTGATTACTAAAATGGTAACATCTATATTAAAATACCATAACCCACAGACTTGACTATAATAACTGTAAAATAGACTGGGCTTTGGTCTATCTGCACATCTAAAATCCTACTATGTGGATGCGACATTTCTGCTGGGATGTAAGAATTATCTGGAATGCTCAACTAGACAATCAGGACAGTCTAGGGTACTATTTGCCCGAAGAGGTGAAGTATTGCGATGAGCTATTATAAGGTACCTGATTCTAATTCTCAAGAGGAAAGTTAAAACCCTCAGCCATGAGGTCACTGAGGAGGACCAACAGGGTATCCTCTGAGAGAGACTGACATGCTTGGATGGAACATAAGGATTTTGGGCACTGGCCAGCAGACCACGATTTCTACTAGTCTGGGTAACATTCAGGTCCTAAATCCATGGCATGCGATGTTTTTAAAGGCAAAATGTCACTGCTGTGTCAGGCTAGTTTGGCACATTTCACTGCTGTATCAGGCTAGTTTGGCACATTGTCTACTAGCCCAGTATGAAAAGTACTAGCCTTGGGCTAGCTTAATTTCCATCCCTGCTGACATGAAAAACTGACTTCACAGGTCATTTGATTAGTAATGTACAACAGATGCACTCGTGGAACAAAACAATTTGTGTTTTCTATGGGAAAACATTGAGCCCACGTCCTTTGTGAGCTAGTTAACGTTAGTTTACCGTTAGTGTAGTCACACTTTTCCACGTGGTGACATGCTAGCCAATGTTAGCCCACCAGGGCAAAGATATTTAGCTAACGTTTAGCTAGCTAGTTACGTTAGCTCATTGTTCGTGTAGTCAGACTTTTCCCCAGACCCCACGGGTGGTGACATGCTAGCTAGTCCACCAGTACAGGGATATTTAACGTTAGCTAGTTAGCGCTAATTACTAACGTTAGGCACATTAGCTAGCATGCCACCACCTGTCGGGAAAGTCTGACTGACGTTACACCACGGTGCAATGTTAGCCTGCTAATGTAGCCAACTAGCCAACCAAGGTGCCTAATTAGCTAGCCCACCAGACGATATTTAGCTAGCATTATCCCTGCCCTAGTGAGTATTGGGGGATTTCAATTATTCTCCTAAATTGATGGGCATGACTAACTTAGAAAGAATGCAGTCTGACTGTGCCTAATGTAGGCTGTGACACCTGGCAAGGCTGTGATTGATGTGAAGAGGCTGCTTTAGGGGTTAAAAAATAAGATAAGGATGTGGTCTTCACATGCCTAGACTATAATAGTTATTTGTGAACTGTGAGCCTTCCTTTGACATAGGAATGATGTCTAAGGGAGCTGGCTCTTCTCACTATGATAGGTTGTTATGATAATCTTGTGCCTGGCTGAAGTGTGTAACAAATGGTGCCGAGGAGATGAGAGCAACCCCTGAATCAACGGATTGGCTGAGAAAGTTTAAACCACGCTCAAGTCTTTACTCTAATTGGCCAGCAGAGAAGTGGGAAACTCCCTCTGTCAGAGTATTTGGGTATTGTTTCTGGAACAATGTGTTAGTTGTCTGGGGTGTTCTGCGAGACATCTCAGAGAGCCCGTATATACGAAACATCATATTTACCATTGAAGGTTTTTGCATTAATTAAAATAACTAGTATACCTTAGAAGTCGTGTTGACCTCTTTTGTTCCTAATACCAGATTTGAATTGACGCGACTTTGACATGAGCTAACTTAGTTTGACTACACAAACCGTGAGCTAACGTTAACTAGCTGGCTAGCTCACAGTCGGTGGTTATCTAGCAAATATTCAAAAGTATCTGGCTAACCACAGATCTTTGACCTAACCAAAATAGCTTGAGAACAGCGCTTACCTTATTACACAGCTCCAGCGACGCCTCTCGCTTAAATTTCAGTCATTTAGCAGATGCTCTTATCCAGAGCGACTTACAGTTAGTGCATACATTATTATTATTTATTTTTTCATACTGGCCCCCCATGGGAAACAATGGGTCTCCTGGTCGCAGCCGGCTACGACCGAGCCTGGATTCGAACCAGGATCTCTAGTGGCAAAGCTAGTACTGCGATGCAGTGCCTTAGACCACTGCGCCACTCGGGAGCTTATAGAGGTCTGAAAACAATCAAATGCACTGTGCTTATCAGAGTAGTGGTTACAATCTGGTACAAAGCACAGAACCATCCTTGCTTCTGATCAACTGAGAGACCTAAGGTTAGCTAGTTTGCGACAAAGAACAGGGTAATTTAAAAAAAGAATTGCTAGGTTACTTGCTACTTGTCGATGAGAGTTTGCATGGAGAAATGTGGAGGTTATTCCCACCCTGGGCCTTGAGTGATTACATCAAAGCTTGCAACAGGATGTGTAGTTCTGTGTGATCGCCACATTAGCGGCTAATTAGCATTTCATTTTGGGGGGGTAATTACAAGTGAATATATTGATAAAAGTTACCTTGTCCGAGAGAGATTTGAGTGGTTATAAAAACTTCACGCCAGGGTAAGCCTACACAAAACACAGACCTTACATGAAGTAGTTCTAAAATCCTCTATGGAAAAATTAATGGTGGAAAAACGATTGGAACCATTTCGGGTTTTACCGCTAGGTTTTATGGGTATTATGACTCATACTGTGGTACTCAATTGCTGCTTTGATGATTTATGACCAACAACAGGCTACATGCGCCATGTTCCATTCTCCTGAAAAGCAAGAGCAGCAGCATGAACGATCAAATTTCTCTATTTCTCTCAACTGCAGCAGTCACGTTTGGATCTGTACAGCCCTACCAGACAAGTCAGTTAAAATTACACATACCCGAGACCCGTGACAATCATATCAGATCCGACCCAGACCCGTGACATTATTTAGAATTCTGGATCCGGACCACTCAGGTCCTGGATCGGGTCTCGGGTATTTGGTTACAGGTGGACCCTTGAAGCCCTCAACCACTTATTGTGTTCACATCTTGTGTCATTTGAATAAGACAGGTCTCCATTATGAAAGCCATCAATTATCATAGGCCTATTGTGAACAAAAGATTTCAAGAATATTTTTTCGTCTTTTCTATAAAAGTATTCTACTCTTCCCTTGACACACAACTCGAAATCGGAGTGTAGCAACGTGCATGTCTTTGGTCACCTCTCGGCGAAAAATCTGTCTCCCTCCAGCAGGTGGCGTTTTTTCGTTGTATCGCCCACCAAGCAAGGAGTTTTTGTATGGAGGGGCAATGAGAGTGTCGAAGTTGGCCAACAAAATAATGAATAGTTTATTTGCTACGTGAGGTTTGTTTGATCGAATAGAAGTTTCGTAATGCTAAAGTTATTAGCAGTGTACTGTTATAAGTAGGACACGTGACATCCCGTTAACTTTGAGAAAAAACACTTTAAATCGGAGTTGTCTCGAGATGGCTATGCATATTCATGAAATGAGGCTAGTAGCATAGCAGCTCTCTCCATTGAATACAGGCTGTTGACGTCAACAACCCTCATCGAGTATTCAAAAGAAATGTACACTAATGAGATTTATCCACCAATCCAAAGAAAGGTTAAACGGGAGCTTGACATCCCGCCGTGCCGCTTTGTGGACAACGACTGCCCATTGTTAGGGCGGAGAGACATGTATCTTGTCATTAAATCCATAATCTTTGGTGTGGTGTAGATGGGAGTAGAATTTCACTTCCTCTATGTAACGGGTGTATTCACAACAGAACCAAACGAAACGAAATGGACAGCGACCTACCTGAATTTGTCCAATAGAAAGTGTCGTTTTCGTTCCAAAATATTTTCCGTTTGGAGTAAACGGTTTCCGTTGCAAAACGTTTTGGACTAATGATTACACCCCTGCTACCCGACAGAGACCGAGACACACCTGTGAAATGGAAAGATTTCGATCGTTTGTATAGAATAATCGACGACAGATAGAGAATTTACAGGTGACACATTTTTGTTAACTCATAGTGTTGTTTTTGAAGAAATATGGATCTATAAAGTTACAGAAGAGTTGGATCTTGGATTATTTATTTGGTATTTTTGACGTAATTCATAGACCTTTGAAATCAGTTGGATGAGAGATAGAGACTGCGGCTGACAAAAGTCCTGAAAGTTTGTCTATAAATGATTGTGTGTGTGATATATATATATATATATATATATATATATATATATATATATATATATATATATATAGTGTATGTATTTATGTATGTATGCGTGTGTGTATATGGTTTTTTGTGTATCTTATTTAGATCATGTTACGACTACTTTAATACATTCTTTATATTTAATCACAAGGCATTCCATGTTATATGTTACGTATTTTAAGTTACTTATATCTCTCTGTTTTCAGATTGTCCGCTGGATTGTATTTGTGTAAAATTGTTTTCCTGGACTGTCTTGTAGAATGACCCCTCTCCAAATTGGATTGTTATTGGGCGCTTCGGTGTTTTGTATTATTTTCCTGGGGCACGCGGAGGCCCAGGCATTCGGGGAACAATGTTTGGACAATTTCAAAAAGGGCAGAGACGATTTCGTTCTCGACACCAATGAGTCGGTCAAAGACGGTGCGACTTTCATCTCTTCAACGAAAGTTGAGCGCACGAAGGACTGTATACACTCCTGCTGCAAAGACCCCAGGTGTAATGTCGCTTTCATGGAGAATGGGGCAGATGAGGGCATGATCAAGTCATGCTTTCTCTTTGACTGTCTATACAAGAAGACCTACGTCTGCCGATTTGTCAGGAAGAAGGGATTCCTGAACTACATCATAGACTCTGTGTATGGAAGTGATCTGGTAACAAATGGCCTCCCAGGTAAGATGGGTATCACTCTCACACATCACAACATAGACACTCATCAAATTAACTAATTGAGTCTACTCATATATTTAGGGTTGGGCATGTCCATAATGAACTTCATGTTGACAATGAACTGCCTTCTAAAGTAACCTGAACACACATTATACCATTTGGCTACTGAATATTATTATGAGCAGAGAAAGCAACCCCCTGGACATGGACTGTCTTTGTGGATTGAGTCACAACAGCCAAGCCTCTTATCTCCAGAGGAGATGAAACCACCGCCTTAGAGAAGAGCATTACCCAGCATGTCCACACACGCCATGGCTCATTATATGGCCCCTTGTCACAGTCTTAGGTTTTTGTTTTCACTTCATTGCTGCTGAGAAAGTGTCTTACAGGGGAGATTGGTATTGTGCTGTGGGTGAAGTAAGGGATTGCACTCTGACCTGACTCAAGAGTGAATATTGAATGTCAACAGGATGTAGTTGTTAATTGTGCATGAGCACCACCAAACTGATGGATTTGCTGACCCTACTTTTTGGTTGTCATCTGTTGTGTTGACACTCAAAACCATTCAAATGCCATTAAAGTTCAGTCTAGTCAAACTTGAACCAGCCATAATATGTGTTTACTCTTTGCACAACGGTTTCTTACATAACAGATTATCTTAAAGCTGCATGTATTTTCAGTATGAATATGTTGTTGTATTGAACATTTGATGAAGGCTGTATTCAACTTTCAGATGAAGAGGACCATCCTCCAGTGGCCAATGGAGGTCCGGACAGAGTGGTGCAGCCCCAGGAAAGTTTGACTCTGAATGGCATTGAGAGCAAGGACGACCACAAGATTGTCACGTACCAGTGGCACCTAGTGTCAGGCAACTCTTCCGCTGTCATAGAGGTGAGTGATGATGACTGGGGACATCAGGGGGCACAGGTCAGTCATTATTGGGATGTTTTGGGTGTTTATCTGATCATAGATTGGTCTCTGACTGTGTAAGAGTACATGAGATGGACAGGTCACTCTCAGAACACCGGAGAATCACAATGAAAGCTACTCCATTTCCAAAGTTCGGCCATACAAGACAACAAATTTAAACATTTTCTTTCCTTGTCTCCTAGAAAACTACATTCAGTGACCAAGTAATTGTGTCCAAACTGACGTCAGGGGTGTACAAGTTCCAGCTGACCGTCACAGACTCCAGCGGGCAGTCCGACCAAACCCAGATCACCGTCCTGGTGCTCACCCCTGAGCAGTCTAAGCGTGAGTATGTTACAGTCTATGCGAAACACCTGTGAAACTCACCTAGCTACACATTGTAACACAATTGTGTTGAGGGTGAAGGGAAATTCACGCTGTATATTGAATTTCAATGCACTTCTACACAGTAAGTTGCCTGTGTAGGAAATCAAACTTAAGTGAAAATGATTTCTCATTGCAGAGAAACTGTTGTTTCCTCTTTGATGTTGTTATATGTGTGATTGCATGTTCGTGTCAGCATGAGGTGAAAACCACATAGATCCCTGTATAAGTTAACTGTAACCATTGAAGTTTCACTTATGCAAAGTCAAATTTCACCTGCTTGACTGCCTGGCTATGCTCCTCCATTTTAATGTCATAATGTCTTCTTTTATTATTCACTGTTGGTTTACCCTATGACATTATTGTGTTGATCACATCACTTCTAACAGTCAGTCAATCTGCTTCTGCATTTAATTCTGCTGAAGATACGCAACATTAAGGTAAAGTTTGATTGCGTGCATGTTTTAAAGATGAATAGGCATGTAGTTTCTGAGTAGTCATGTTTTGTCCCTGACTCACGTCGTGTCATACCAGACATGACTCACAACTCTCCTCTATTTGTTTATGTCTTTAATGTGGCCTACATCAGTGATCTGTCATGTCATGTGTTTAGAGTAGGTACACTGTGGACACTATGATAAACTATGTCCTTAAGGTGAGAAGGACTGATGCCCTTCTGGCTATATTTGACACTGAACACATAATGCAAGTGAAATGTAATGCAATATAAGGAATGACTTTGAAATTATATTTTTTCTTCAAATCGAGGAAACTGTCTTTGCAGTTTGGATTTTGCTGTGAAGAAGAACTATCCCATTACAAGTATAGGTGGCATGTTGTTAAGTTCATAAATCATTTGAATGGCTTTGAAATGCTTGTTGATTACTTTGTACTGGTTTAATTTGAGTTTATTATGACAAGACTTAATCATAATCATCAACTTTTCATGACAACGTGACAGGATGTATGCATATTAAAATGACAAATAGACCTGACCAGGCAAGCTCATCTGATTCCCGTAGAACAAAATCTAGATTTCCAGATTTAAAAAAGCACATTCATAAGTAGATTTGACTCGGCTTAGACATCTATATGTGGGCTCAAGCGCTACTTACAACAGCTTAGCGTTGTTATTTTCCTAGTACTTGTTTCCTCATTGGCTGTGAGTTTGACTTATTATTATTATTATTATTATTATTATTATTATTATATTATTTGACAGAAAAACGGATATGTCTTCCATGAATGACGGTATTAGGTCATAACAGGATGACAACTCATTATCATACTAGCTTATACTAGGTAGATCAACAGTGTTGCCTGGCTGCTCATTATAGATTAACAGGGAATATTTAGGAATCAGACAATGGAGGGGTTTTCTCTGCCCTACCCAGTAACGTGAGAGTGTGTATATGGAATGGATAGACACTTCCTGGACGTTCAGCAGAAACAGGAAGTGAGGATAGCTGGGGTTGGCATTTTTTCCCTTCACTCCCCTCCCTTTTTAAAACCTGTCTGTCTGGTTTGAGCTTGGGTTTCACAAACACAAGCAAACTCTGTTACCGTCTTGATAAAGACAGACTCTTTGATACTCAAACACTTTGATGTTATTTATAACATTATGTTATATATTTTGGAGCATGTTGGTCTCTCTCACAGTCTTAGCAGACTGATTCAGTTACCCATTAACAAGTCACTACTCTGAATGGTGTGAGGAATGTTCCTCTGTGGAAAGGACCAAGGCATACCAGTGACCCCTGATGTGAGCCACCACAATACATTTATACCTAAATGGCTGCCTGCCTCAATGCTGGACGAATCACAATTAGAAATGCTAGAAGAATCATAATTAAAGATACCCTGATAACCCTCCCCTCTCAGCAAAATGATATGTATACTGTGAATAGCTATTTGAGTTTTCCATTGACTGTGGTACACATGGTTCTCTACCTATAATGTTATTCTTAATGCATCAATTAACTTTCCTTCGTATTGTAATGACGGAATGGCTGTGCAATGTAATGTAATGTAATGACTCATATAAAATGTTTTTTAAAAAGTATGCAGGTTGGTTGTCCTGATAACATGCATCAACTAGCTTGTTGTGTGGTGTACAGCTTGGCGTTGCACAAGAGGAACCACTTCCCCTGTCTGTGTTATATCAGTCATGTCTGCTTTCTTCCAAGATACATCCAAATGTATCTTCAGTGGTTGAAGTAGGCCTAATTTTAAGGAAAATTACCTAGACTCCCCCCCCCCCCCCCCCAATCACAGTGACTTGCTCTACACCATTTTGTTAAGTTTATTTGAAGGTCTGTTTATAAACTGCTATGTAACGAGAAGTAATGAGCTGTTTGGAGCTATGAGCTGAGCCTTTAAGCAAAATTATGTAATAAGCAGTTTATAAGCACTGTAATAAGCAGTTTATAATCACTGTAATAAGCAGGTTATAATCACTGTAATAAGCAGGTTATAAGTACTAATAAGCAGTTTATAAGCAATGTAATAAGCAGTTCATAAGCAACTTTTGCCCCATATTGTGTCCAATGTTACACGTTTTCGTCTGAGCTTCCACAACTCAACCACAGCATAAAATTACAATCACATGACATTTGTGTGTGTTATATTGTGTGTTTTATTACATCATGTTATATCTAATCACCAGTGTCCCCTCTCTCTGATGCTTTATCCTCCAGATCACTGCCTGGTCCCCAAGAAGGTGGGTCCCTGTCGTGGGTCCTTCCCCCGCTGGCACTACAATGCTGCCTCAGAGAAGTGTGAGGAGTTTCTGTTCGGGGGCTGCAGAGAGAACCTCAACAACTACCTCTCCCTCCAGGAGTGTACCAACGCCTGTGATGGTGTTTCAGGTACTGTACAGATCCCTCTTGCCTCTCTAAGAACAGTTGGTTTTGCAGAAGATTGATTTGTTGATTGATTTGTTAATTGATTGGCATTTCCTTTCATGTAGTTATGCCCAGCGTTGGCAGTGGTAGAAGTGGGCCACTTCCAGCCCCTAGAGGTAAGACTAACCCACATTTCATTGAATGTCCTCAGATGTATGGAAAAGAGCTGTATACCTTTTGGCTATGCCTCCCACACTCATTGACACATGCAGTGCCTAGTGAATGTCTACACACCCCTCGCCTTCAAATTTTGCTGCCTTAAAATAAAATAAATAATTTTTTCCCTACAGATCGACACAACGTACTCCACATTTTCTAAGTTATAGAACATTAGTAAAACATTAATTAAACAATAATAAAAAATATGTCTTGATTGCGTATGTCTTCACACCCCAGAGTTAATACTTGGTCTAAGCACCTTTGGCAGCCATTACAGCTGTGAATCATTTGGAATAATATTCCATGAACTTTGCACAAGTCTTAGGGCAACATATGTCCAATGTTTCAAGCTCAGTAAATTTGTTTGGGAATCATTGATGGACAGCAATATTCAAACCTTGTCTCTGCTTTTAAAGCAAATTTAAGTCAGGACTGAGCCTAGACCACTCAGGAACACTCAACACCTTTTGGAAAGCCATTATGGTGTGTAATTGTCTAGCTGAAATAAAACTCTGAGGCAGGTTTTCCTTTAACTTTTTACCTGGGCTTTGCTCTTTTCATATTTATTTTGATCCTGACAAACCCCCCAGTTCCTGCCGATGACAAGCATACCCATAACATGATGCTGCCACCACAATACTTGAAAATACAGCGGTTTCACTCTGTTGGATTTGACCCAAACCTGTCGTTTTTAATTTAGGCCAAAAAGTAATGTCTTTGCCATGTTGTCTTGCAGTATTACTTAACGGCCTTATTGCAAACAGAATAGATGATTAACACAGTCTTCCTTCTTCTCACTTTATCATACAGGCCAGTCATGTAGAGTGAATGCAATGTGGCTGATCCCTTTGTATTTTCAAGTATTGTGGTGGCAGCATCATGTTATGGGTATGCTCGTCACCGGCAGGGACTGGGGAGTTTGTTAGGATCAAAATAAAAATGAAAGGCGCAAAGCTGAGAGTCCCTGAGATTTTTCTGCGGGACAATTACAGAAATTGTAATGCTAAAGACACACCAGAATGGATTTCCAACAGGTGTTGAGTGTTCCTGAATGGTCCAGTCTCCGTCCCGACTGAAATCTGTTTAAAAAATCAAATCTGAGACAAGGTTTGAATATTGCCATCCATCAATGATTCCCAACCAAATTTCACTTTGAAAATGTGGAGTAGGTTGTGTAGATCGATGGGAATGTTTTGGGGAGTATTTTCATACAGATCTGTTTTACCGTTTAGAAATGAAAGCACTTTGTGTATCTAGTCCCCCCCATGTGAAGAAGTAATAAGTATTTGGACAAATTTGCTTATAGTGTATCAAAGTAGTCAAAAGTTGAGTATTTGGTCCCATATTGCATGCAATGACTACATCAAGCTTGTGATTCTACAAACGTGTTGGATGCTTTTGCAGATTGTTTTGGTTGTGTTTTGGGTTATGTTTTGCCCAGTAGTAACTGAATGGTGAATGATGATGACTGGAGTAATTTTCTTTCTAAGTGAGTAGATAAGATGTTTCTGAACACTTCTAAATTAATCCTGATAATGCCATGATGAAGAAAAATAATGAATGAATCATGAATAATGATGAGTGAGATGCCGTTCAGAGGCTACAACAAAACATGCTAATCTCTCACCATTACCAGTAACAGGGGAGGTAACCTTTATTTTGGGGGGGGTGGGTGGGTATGATCTTTGTGCCTCTGTAACCTTCTCTCATCATTATTCATGATTCATTCAATATTATCCATAGTCATGGTAGCATCCACATGAATGTAGAAGTGTTCAGAAACATCTTATATTCTTACTTACAATAAAAGTGACTCCAAAATGGCACAAGACATTATTCACCATTCAGTTCCTATTGGGCAAAACATAATTCAAAACCCAACCAAAACAAACCGCAAATGCAATCAACAAGTTTGTACAGTCACAAGCTTAATGTAGTTATTGCCTGTACTTTAATACACTAAAAGTGAATTTGTCCAAATACTTATGACATCTTCAAATGGGGGGACTAGATACATAAAGTGCATTCATTTCTAAATGGTAAAACAGATATGTATGAAAATACCCTTGAATTAAAGGTGACATTCTGTACTGTCGCTTGATATGAAACATTCTATGTCAAATCTAAAACGCTGGAGTATAGACACAAAATTAAAATGTTTAGCTTGACTGTCCAAATACACATGGAGGGGAATGTACCTGTTCATTGAGACTTATCGGTTGCATGGGTTAGCTGTGCACTGCGTCATGTTTCTCTGTATTGAGTAAAGGTTACTCTCACCTCACCTGTTCTGTTCAACTGTGTTGTTGTGTTTAGAGGTGTGTGGGGTCCCCTGTGGGTCAGGCCAGTTCACCTGTGCCAACGGCTGCTGCCTTGACCAAGGCCTGGAGTGTGACAAGGAGCAGCAGTGCAGCGACGGCTCAGACGAGGAGAGCTGCGAATACTGTGAGTGCAGGCTATGGCTATGCAAACCGACCCTAATTTACATAACACTGCACTGGCCTTACCTTACCACTGACCTTACATTACCACTGACCTTACATTACCAGTGCAGCCATGAAGTGATACTGCTGGGCTGCTCATTGTTTGTTGACATGTGAAGTTGCTAAACTCTTGTTTTCTTCCTTTCACCAGTGAACGACAAGTTCCGGATTCTACTGCAAATTCCTTTGGATGAACAGAAAGGTTATTTGAGTGTTACTGTTTTGAGACATGTTCACAGTAATAGGATCCATCTAGGATATTGTTGTTGAGTAAACTGGTCACCTATGGTGCCTAGCTCTGCTCTTACTCTCCTTACTAACACTGATTTATCTCTCACACATATTCTTTCAACCACAGTTCGCTGCACAGAGCACCCCAAAACGGGAAACTGTCGGGACAGTTTTACCAAGTGGTACTACAACCCTCTCTACGAGAAGTGTTTCCGTTTCAACTATGGCGGCTGCGACGGAAATGACAACAGATTTGACACTGAAGATACTTGTATGACGACCTGCAAACTGGTAACAGGTGGGTTTGCGTGCTGTAGCCATTACAACACTTTCAACTGTACTGTTTTATTACCCTTTGAGACCATAATGATGACAACTGAAGGGAATGTTTGAGAGCTGTACTCCCATTTCAGCACCCATACATTGTGTATCAAGAATACTGTAGCTGTGTATACTAACTTGCTTGTCTGTTATCCTTACTATGTGTTCAGAAAAGGACATCTTTGAGAGAAAGGAGTCCTTTGAATACCAGGACACTCAAGGCCAGATAGGTAATTATCTCCTCCTTATTCTGCATTTCTTCTGTAGTTTCCTCATAAAAGTGAAGATGGAGCCTTTTGTCCCTCAGAACGAATTGCGCTCCTTTAGAAGTCCATGGAAAAGACACCCTGACAATACTCCTTTTTAAATCAAATTCTTCCACCCCATCAATTTTAAGGGCCCTGGGGCTCAAAGCTGGTCACAAAAATCTTGTGGTGATGATGAAGCTGTCTGCTTCCCTGCCCATTCTCTTCACTTAATTCAGACACCATGAATGTTGCACATGATTGATCGTGTCTGTTGTCCAGCTTTTGCTGCCCTGCACATGCAGGCTTCTTTTTATATAGTTATTGACTTACTGGTGTGTGTGTGTCTTCATGCCCATCCCTGTCAGGCATCATAGCAATAGCCATACTGCTTGGCCTAGCCATCATCATACTGCTGGTCGTTCTATCTTACTGCTTCATGAAGGGCAAGAAGAAGAAGCAGCCTCAGCGCCAGCGGGTACCCGTCAACGGCACCCAGATCCACACCATGGAGGACACTGAGCGTCTTGTCTACAACAGCACCACCAAGCCCATCTGACCCCTAATCTCTGACCCCACAGGTCAGCCATTAGCGTTACATGAAGTCAGATCAATAGATGCATATTTAAATTGTATTTTACAGTGCCTTACAAAAGTATTCACAGACCCCTTTTGATTTCTTCACTTATTATTATTTTAATAATTCTTCAAGCTCTGTCAAGATGTTGGGGATCATGGCTAGACAGCATTTTCCAGTGTTGCCATAGTATTTCAAGCAGAGTTAAGTCAAAACTGTAACTTTTACACTTTGATGTCAATCAATGTCAAGCATGCCCATACCATGATGCAGCCACCACCATGCTTGAAGATAAGGAGGCAGTTAGTTACTTAGTGATATGTTTTGTTGGATTTGCCCCAAACATAGGGCTTTACATTTAGGCCAAAAAGTGTATTCCTTTGCCATGTTTTTTTTGCATTATTACTTTAGTGCCTTGTTGCATACAAGATGCAAGTTTGGAGTATTTTTATTTGGTATATTTATGTTATTTTCACTGTCATTTAGGTCATTATTGTGGAGTCACTACAATGTTGTTGATCCATCCTCAGTTCTCTCCCATCACAGCCATTGAACTCTTTAGCTGTTTTAAAATCACCTGTCCTGCAGCTCAGTTCAGAAGGATGACTATCTTTGAGGTGTCTGGGTGGTTTAATACATAATTATTAACTAGACCATGCGTAAAGAGATATTCAATGTCTGATTTGTTATTGTTACCCATCTACTAATCACTGCAATTTTTTTATGAGGCTTTCGAAAAGCTCTCTGGTCTTTGTAGTTTAATCTGTGCTTGAAATTCAATACTTGACTGCGGGACCTTACAGATGTTGTATGTATGGGGGACAGAGGAAGGGTTAGCCATAAAAAATCATGTCAACCCCTATTATTTCACACAGAGTCCATGTAACTTTTTGTGATTTGTTAAGCCTAATTTTACTCCTGAACTAATTTAGGCTTTCCTAAACGAAGGGGCTGAATACTTATGCAGCGACTATATTTTAGTTATTGAATTTTTTATTAATTAATATTAATGTGTATATCGTTGACAAAAAAAGTACAATTCAATCCATTTTAATCCCATTTTAACACAATAAAATGTGAAGAATACTTTTGCAAGGCACTGTATGTGAACCTTGGAGGGTTTTTGTGTAGGAGTATAGTCTGTTTTATTGTCCACAAATACAGGCCTCTTTGTTTGATAAGAGCTTTACCTTGTTGATGTTGTAATGTAGGCCTATGAGTTTTTTTATTTCATTTTATTAGAGCTTGACACCACTCCAGAAAGAAAAAGTGGCAGCAATTCTTCAAAATGTGACTCCTCTGTTGTTGTTGCATTTTGCATTTTTTCTTACTCGCATTAGCCTATCAGAATTCAGATTGTTGGTCACTAATTCTGCACTCAGGGTATAACAGTCCAATGATTAAATCAACAAATCGGACTATTATTCATGTATATTGTTGAAATAATGAAACCTGCCGCTATTGCTTAATAAATATGGATTTGTTATTCTTCTTTTCCTGTTTTATTGTATTTTAGGCATTTTTTGTTTGTGTTGCTGGAAATATATTGTACATAGTTAACACCTTTTGTCTTAACTGTTAAAGTTAGAGCAGATTATGTTATTTTACTTTTAGAGTTTATTTTCTGATGATGAAAACTGTTATTTCAGAAGGAAACCGAAGAGCGGGAAAAAAGCGAGTTTGTGCCTCATGATGGTAGTAACATGTTAGGAGAAAATATACTCCTTTCAACATTTTCTAACTTTTGTTATTAACACCTTTGTATATAGTTTTATCTCGTTAACCATTAGGTCTCAAATCCAAAATAAAATTATACCAATGTTACCAGTATGTGTTGTTTGTTCTGATGATAAGAGGCATGCTAGTCTGAATTTGTAGCTTTTTCAGCACATTATGATTAGTGTCACATAATGTAACTGTACTTCGTTTAACCCTTGCTTTTACTGTAATTTCACATTTCATAATCTAATGAGGTTAATCCGGCAGTGCTCTTTTGTCCATAATAATCTCATCATATAGGGCAGGCTATACCCGCACTGTATATGCGAGCTGTTGGCTAGAGTGCACGTGCCAATACCAGAGTGGGCACACGCTATATAACGCAAAACATTTTTGTGAGAAAAACATCAGTAGAGTTAAATGCGATGGAAACCCATTTAACTTGTATTTTAATTCGGTACATGGGAATTTAAGTGCAAAAGTTACTTTTATGTGCACTACGTTATCACGCACAGCCTTTTATCCGCAACAAGTTTATTTGATGGAAACGCATCTGGTGGGAAAATGTGCATATAGTTTTTAAGCTGATTTTTGAATATTCGCATAAAAATGTTTCACCAATTGGATGGAAACGTAGTATTCGAGGTCGAAATAACACTCTGAAATTGTGAAAATGATGACAATGTGTAATCCCGAGTGGCGCAGTGGTCTAAGGCACTGCATCGCAGTGCTAGCTGTGCCACTAGAGATCCTGGTTTGAATCCAGGCTCTGTCATAGCCGGCTGTGACTGGGAGACCCATGGGGTGGTGTACAATTGGGCCAGGGTAGGGGAGGGAATGGCTGGCAGGGATGTAGCTCAGTTGGTAGAGTATGGTGTTTGCAACGCCAGGGTTGTGGGTTTGATTCCCACGGGGGGCCAGTATGAAAAATAATGCCCTTTTTGTGTATGAACTGTTTGAAAAATGCCTTGAATTTCAGCCTGTTCAGGTGGGTATGGGACTTTTGGCCCACATCATGATGTCGCAATGTGATCTGATTAAAATAGACCAATGACTGTTCATCGGGGGGGGGGATAGACCACCATCCTTTCAGCCAATCAGTGTGTATGTAAATATCTCCACATTTGTTTCCTCAAGCCCACACAATCAGACTGAGCATTTCAAGGGCCAAAGAAGGTGCAGGGAATTAAATGATATATATATTATTTATTTTTTGAGCATTTCAAGGGCCAAAGAAGGTGCAGGGAATTAAATGATATATATATATATAAAAAAATTGGGAGTTATTTTGATTAAATAAACATACACTGTGATTTATTAGACATACAGTGATGATTGGGAGGCAGGTAGCTTAGTGGGTAAGAGCGTCGTGCCAGTAACCGAAAGGTCGCTGGTTCTAATCCCCGAGCCGACTAGGTGAAGAATCTGTCGATGTGCCCTTGAGCAAGGCACTTAACCCTAAATTGCTCCTGTAAGTCGCTCTGGATAAGAGCGTCTGCTAAATGACCAATTAATAATTAATTTAATGATTAAAAAAATACAATTACAAAGACTGCATGGGGGCTTTAACATACAATAAATGTAATCATGAAATTGATGCTGTTTCTCCACACTTGCACATTTGGTAAATGTTTGTAATGAACACTAATAACCCGGAAAACATTCCTTGTTCAGAAACAGTTCAACTAGTTTTGTGTCATAAGAGGTAATATATGATAGGCTCTTACCTATTTACCCAACCATTACCAGCAGATGTAAAAATGGACTTTACTGCACAGCCACATTATAATGGATAGGCAATGGACAAAAATTACTCTTTTACATTTCACTGCAAAACATAGACTTCTGCTGTTGCACTAATCCCCCCCCCCCCCCCCCCGTCTCCTCCGTCCGTCCGTCCCGTCCCGTCCCGTTCTCCCCAGAAGTATCCATGTAATATGTATCCATGTAATATGTTTTAGACAGCCTGCTCAATAAAAGTGTTTGTAAGTACAGTAGGCCTAAATGTAGTCAGTTGTAATTTCATCAACTACCAGAGTGAGGTGCACCATTCATACAGTCCCGGCTGAAGATGTCCATTTTAGAAAAGGACATCCTCAGTCATTGTTATGTAGATTAGCTCAGCAGCAGCCTCTGTGGTTACATTTCGCAATAGAAGCAAGTCTCACAGGTGACTGTAAAAGGGGATTCTGAGGGGAATACAGAGCAAAGTAACCTACCTTTAATACTAGCCACAAGTGAGCAGTTCCTTCAATTGATTCACTCCAGTTATCTGTCTGCCATTCTTTGTAGGGACCTTTGACAGCATACCCTCATCAATAGATCTGAAGACTTAGTGATGGTGTGTGAAAGTGGTTCATAAGCTTGTCATGTTGCCTGACTGGGCCCTCAGGAGTAATCCACACAATTGACTGAGAGGAAGAAAGATGTTGAAAGTGCTCTAAAGTGTGTCAGTTTACAATGGGCAGATAAGGACCGAGTTTAGGCCTAAATATTAGCTTGTGTTTATTTGAATAAGGAGGTTGGCAGAAACTTGAATTTGGGACATTTTCCAGATGCCCACAAACATTGACGACCTGACGTTAAAAGAAAACTGACTAATTTATTTCAATACAGAAAAAAACGGGGATAATATTCACTCACTCTTTGAGGCAAATAACACAAATGAAGACAGTATTTGAAGTAGTATCCGAGGCAGTATAACCCCTAAATTGGATAATTTGAGACAAGAAACTCTACCACTATCCCGATTAAGATAGCGTGCTCTGGAAGTAGGCGGTCTTTGACCATCGCTCGCTGTACTTCGCTATGCCTTCTGCTCAGCTGTGTATAATCAGTAGAGGACAACTGGGGATGTGCGGAGTATTTCTGTCTTTGACAATGTGAGTTAATCTATGGAAAACTAAGGACTTGGAAAAGTAAAACCAAATTCATAATATAGTCAACTGAAAAACTACAGCTACACTTCCAGAAGTTCACAGGGAGACGACTACACACTCAAACAGTTGGTAAGTGTTTTTAATGAACGCTAATAACATTTATGACCCTGAATGGGAAACAAATCGACAGGGGAAAAAAATCAAAAGTCGGTCTCGAATTTCCCTATGATGAATACAGCAAAAGAGTGCATGGCCAATACGCCGCTTTTCTTGAATATTTTAGGGCGCGTTCTTTTGTTATGCCCATACATTTATTCAATCAAACCGCAATTGTTGTGGTAAATTGTTGCGCCTCGATACCTTCCTTGCTTTTCTTAAATTCCA